AATGAAGACTTCTTTTATATATAGCGAGTTGGATGATAAAATTAGTTTTGAAAAATCCAGACGAGTTTTGAGCCCAATGAACTATTAGTTATCCATGGAGATTATTCATCTAATTATTCAGGCTCTCGGCTTTGTGTGTTATTTTTTTTAAAAGATAGATTTATAACACTCATGATTTGTAAACAATGATTGCATATACTTCTCTGATTCTATTTATGAGGCACTTCTAACATATTTTACACAAACCAAGAAAAACCTTAAACTATATTAACTTTTCATTAAAATATAGCAACTTTCTAACTTTACCCCTTTTTAATATATACAACTTTAAAAAAATAATTATTTATACAATAATAAATGAAGGATAATATAATACATTCATGCTAAAAATTTAATGAAGTAACTTATAAATAGGATAAAAAAAAACCTTCTCTCTTTACCTTATAAATAGGACCAGAGGAGTATATTTTATATTGATATTAACATTGACATTAGTATTAATCAAAATAACTCCTATTTAATATATTTAATTTTTCATACATGAGCGTGATAAATAATTTATTATGTCTGGAATATGTACACGTGTGTGTGCACATGTATGCGTGTGTCTAACCCCCATCGATGCAAATTAAACGTCCGCAGAAGTGACTCTCCATGGGGGATTCCCTCTTCCATGATACGTACTACCCCGCGGCTTTTTACTGCAACTCCCTCAATTATTGTATGCTTCTTAGAAACATGTGATTCAAAGACAATTATTTCTCGCCAAAAAGGGGGGAAAAAAGAGAGAGACACAATCACTGATATATCCGATATCTGGAACCGTGCATCATGAACAGAGCGTTAGGTGCGTGATTACCGTATACGACGTCCTCTCTCGGGAAGCTTCTGGTTTGGTTAAACAAAACCAATAATTCTCTCTCTGGATGTGTTTTTATAAAGCGCGGTTATTGAATTTTCATTCATTAATTACATATTATTGCCAAATTCGGTGATTATTGGATGATGGTTTATTAATAAACAATCTTAGAAGAGTCATGATTCGCAATCACGGAACACGCATAATTATATTTACTGTTGCAGAAAGATTTAACAATAATTGACATTGTTGCACCAGAAAAAAAAAAAAGAAGATATTGAGTGACCTGGAGAGGTACTAACATGCATAACAGTATATTGTTAAGCTCGTGATGACATATTCTGTGGTAAAAGTTGGTATTTAATACAAATTCCACTGTACAGGACAAAGATTTGAAGGACTCTTGTCTCTTAAAACATACCAAAAAAAAAACTCAGATTTGAAGGACTTTTATCATATTTGTTATTTAATTATCTCTCATCCTATCCCCATAAACAAGAGTGTTTTGATAAATAAATTATCTTTTTTCATATGGTTGTCCCTTCTAATAGTTTTGAGAGTAATATGTTAGTCTCCAGATATATCCCAGATTCCATTATTGAACACATACAAATTATAGTTGGTGGCGTGTTGACGAAGCCCAGTAACATCGAAGTCATGTTGTTCGGGAGACAAGATCTTCTTTGTGTCTAATCACGTGGAATATGGATCAGAGGAGTTAGGTCATTGCCCTATAGAGATAAGAATTTAATATACGGCCATGTATTAACATCTTGACATATAAACTGCACTAAATGTGCAAACACGATGATCATTCAAATTAAATAAATAATTTATTGCCAATACAAATAATTGATCTTATCTTCCCTCCTCAGCACTGTTTATCTTCAATTTGTATACTGTTTCTGACGTCTAGTTCCCCAAAAACTCAGAAATATACCCGCCACGAGATGAGGAACCTAGTAACCTTTGACGTAAAAATTTGTCATAAAAACCACCTTTTCATTCATAAACAACGCGCAAGCAATTCATCTCATCTGTGCTCCATATTTAATTTGTTTTCATATGTCTTGCTAACAATCAAGTGACGGTTTTAACAACGAATAAAGTCGTCTAAAGATGTTTCATATTGAATAAGTTTAGTTGAAGGAAAAAGGCGTACAAGATAAATGCAAAGACCTGAAAACTTAATGCCACATCTATTGTGTTTTGTCGAGATGAGGTTTGACGTAGATATTTCTATATTTAAGGCTGGCAATAGTAAAGTTGGCCACGCATGAGTTATACTTAGATGCCGTATCTACCTTCCACTTCAAACCCAATATTATCCGTACTTTTTTTTTTTTCTGGTTGCTAAATAAATTCCCTTTATTAACCCAATAACGTCATTTCTTTTTCTTTTTCTTCCTGGTTAATTACATGCCATTAATAATTATTGGACCAATTGACCATCCTTCTTCAAGTTTAAAACTACATATAATATGATAATGAAATGGCGAGGCAGTAATAATATCGTTTTATAGGATGAAGCTGGACTTTAATCTCGTGACTTGCTGCTGTCTATATTGTTATAGACGTCAAAGTCACTCTTGGGAGAGTCACGAAAGACATGATGAGTCAAATTATAACTTAAAATGGGCCATGATGCATGATCTATTCCATATATATATGTCTTGATCTTTCCATCTATAGAGAAAAGCTGCACGCGGCATGTTTAAGATATAGATGATAATGATTACGCTTGCATAATTGTATCTTACTCATCACTCCGGACAACCACATCCAATCATGCATCAATATAAAAAGACTACAGTTTAAACTAGTTAAGTTTCTTAAGTACGTTCTAATATTATATTTTGATGATATGGATAACATTAGCTAATCATTTCATATAATTAATTAACGGGAGTTTATATCCAAGACAATGCAATAAATGCACTGGATAATATGGTTTAATTTTCTTATATTTTAAAAATATAGCGTTTATTTGTTGATTATAGTAACTTGAAATGTTAATATAATTTTTTGCCCATTGAGTTTGTCCTCATTTTAATTTTGGTTAATTAAATTTCAAATTATAGAATTCAGTCTCTAAATTTTTTATTGGAAATATTAGTTTTTATAACTTAATGAAAACTGGACCATTTTATCTCTTCAGGAATCAAAATTTATGATTTAAACTAAACACGAGAGATTATATCAATCATGATACGTAAGAAAAGAAGAAAATAGTGGGGTGGTGACTAGCGATTGCCTATAGATTCTTGGTTGCCTTTTTTGGTTACAGCGGATGACCTCCCTCCATAATTTAAGCATGGGCATCCATTCAGAATTCGACATGTTAAAGCAAATGGGAACTAGCTTTACTCAGAATATCGAGATCTGGAAACAGATGACATGACCTTGGTAATGGTAGGTATCCTATTCTCTATCTTATAACACCAAACTAATCAATAGCAACGTTCGTCAAACGTAAGAAAACTTTAATTTTATAAAAATACACGCTATGACACATATTTTATTAAACTCCATGCAGTTTCATTTTCATTTATTTTCAGGATTTCTTCACATATACGAATAATTGTAATAATTTGGGTGCTAGTTGTTATGGTTCATGAATAGTGAGATTTTTTTTTTTTTTTTGCTGATGACAATTAAAAAATATATGTTACATCGACCCATTGAAGTATATTTAATGATAGTTGAAAGACTCAGCTTTGGCTTTAATTATGAATTATTAATAATTTATCTACATAGTTATTGAGAAAAAAATAATTTTCAAGTTCATTTATTATCACTCTTTAAGTGACAATTTTCCCCCCCAAAGATGTGAGACAGAAAAATCAAAAATTCAGAAATGACGTACGGGTTAGGTTATTATATTGTTTAAATTTAAAATATATTAAAGACCTTTCAATTTAAAATCCAACATATTGCCGGATTAAAATCGTTATAAGAAAATGCTAACGACTGCTGTTCACATCAAAACTGTCCAATGAAAAACAGATAAACCGAAATCATGTTTGGTCCAAGACTTAAAAATGGGACGATACCTTTTTAATCATATAAGAACTAGTTAATTAATCTGAATAAAATGAGGCTGAAATAACCATGAAAAATTTTCTTATTAAAAATATTATCAGGTACTAAATTTAAGCATCTAATGAGAATTCAAATCTTAATTTATTATACACGGGCTGGTCCCTTTTTAATTTGTTATTCTCAGGAGCTGTCCCAAATGTTAACAAGGAGCGAGCTTTTCCTTCTGGGCCGGTGAAATTCTGGAATCGGGCATCTGGGCTTAGTTTACGATGTTGGGCATCGCAGAAGCAATAGGACTCAACACTAAAAAAATGGACATGTGCATAGCACATAATCCAGGCTGCTCATAACGAACTTTGTTCCTGGGCTTCTTTTGTCGATGAAAAATGGCCGCGCTTAATTTACCCAAAAAAAAATGTGAAGCTGATCTGTACCGATAATAATGCATTAATTCACATTAATTGTGTCAACAATGATCACTTGTTGACTGCCAATATGAGGAGATCTGAACGTTTACAAACTCATGCAGGTGAAAAGACATCTATATAAAGTCAGTTTTGACCATTATCACATTTCGAAGCCAAGCTTATTGATACTATATCGAGGCGATCATTTGCATTTCATTTCCTCGGGAAATAATTGGCCAATTCAATTGAGACACTGGTTTGGTTCAGTTTGCTTGTTTTTTGTTTGGACTATAGGAGGAAACTTCTTCTCACTGTTTAAAACTGCATATCAAATGAAGATTTCATCGTAATTTCATTTACACTTTTGGCATTACGAGATGATTTTCATTATTTTGTTCATCTCCATTTATTATTTCTATTTTTTCAATTATGTTTCCATGCATGCCCAACCATGATATGGTAAAAATACCACTTTTATGATATTCATATATTGCCCTGTTTTTTTATGTCTAATATAAGAACTAGTTAAGAATTTTATTTAATTTTAAATATAATATAATATTTAATTTTTCACTTTACCTAAATTAATTAAGTATGGGAGAGAACACTTATTTTTGGTCACGCAATTATGTCTCCCTCCGGCCTCTGCCCTTTTGTAGCTGAACATTATTGAAGAAAAAAACCTCTCACTGCAACACAGAAAGTGCCGTTTCACTGGCAGTCCATTTTTCTTCCCTCCTGTTCATGCGAGGGGAACGCTTCTGTTCTCTTCGCTCGCCGTCTGTGTTGGCATCAGCCTTGTCCGTCGGCGTTGGTTGCAGCCTCGTCCGTCGGTGTTGGGCGGAGGAGCACTTGGTGCTGCTGGCTGCTTGGTGTTTTTGTAATGCACCTTTTTCTCCTTTAGCTGCTTCCATTGAAGCTTCTACAGGTAAGATGCGCACGATTGACTTACTTGAGGTTCGTTTGACATCGTAAATTGCTAGCATCTGAAGTGTAAATTTAATGGAAGTTGATACTTGACAGGGTCTCTAGGGTTTGCAAGATATGGGCTGAACTTGTTGGGTTTTTGCTCGCTCTTCTTCCGCTTCTTGAATTAATAATTAGTTGCTGAGTGTTTGAAAAATATGTAAATCCTATTTGATTTTCTACTATTTGGTTTCTAGTGCTGATGGATGAACCTAATTTGAATTTCTATATTAAGCGCCTTTGGTCTCATGTAGGAATTTTATTTGAAATTGGAGATTCTCTTGGTGTGCTTCGATTGTTATTTCTCTGCAATAAAAAAAAGAAAAAAGATTCCGTTTGAATCAATTATAACATAATGCAAAGCATATGTTTGCTTCCCTTTATTACAGTTATAAAAGCATCATCTTCCTTTATGTAGCAACCTCTACCTGTAGCATTTTATCCTTAAATTACAACTTAGGATTTTTTAAATGACGCTATTCTTCTGCTTGATTCTTTGTTTATAAATCAGTGCTTCGTTTGTATGCTGTTTGCATTTGTGTACTTCCCTATATTCAAGTTTCAGAGTGGCCATCCAAACACACTGAATCTGTTGGTAGAGTTCGAATCTAAGTTTTATTGTTCAGTTTGCTGACTAAGTTCTTTGAACTATTTTGTTCTGACTCTTAAATCTTCTCTCTAATAGATTGTCTAAGTTGTTCTCACTGTGGATGTCTACGTCTGAGAATCTCCTCAATTTCTTCCAGGCTAATATCTGCTGGTTTCTCTTTCAAATGCTTGAAGCATGCTCATATCTAGTCTCTCTCTCTCTCTCTGTTTTTTTTTTCCCTTTGTTTTTGTGGGGTTCATGCAAGTAGTAATGGCTAAGGGAGTTCTTGATTTGTGGTTTGAGTTTATCAGTATTGCTTTTTTGTTTCAAGCAGATGACGCTTTCTCTATGCTCGTGGAATGTGAACAGACGTAAAATGTTGTGACATCCATACCGAGAACAAGGCAATTGGGTCTTGATTTCAAATCAACCATGGAGTGCAACAAGGATGAGGCTCTAAGGGCTAAGGAAATTGCAGAAAGTAGAATGCAAAGTGGTGACTTTGTAGGGGCACTGAAGTTTGCTACAAGGGCCCAAAAACTGTTTCCTGAAATTGAGAACATCGTTCATATCCTTACAGTTTGTGAGGTTCACTGTGCTGCACAGAAGAAGCTTTCCGGATCTGAAATGGATTGGTATGGAATTCTTCAGACTGAACAACTGGCAGATGAAGCAACCATAAAGAAACAGTTCAGGAAGCTTGCCCTGCTACTTCATCCTGATAAAAATAAGTTTTCAGGTGCAGAGGCTGCATTCAAGTTGATTGGAGAAGCAAATAGGTTGTTAACTGACCCAGAAAAGCGGAGATTGTATGACATGAAGTACAGAGTCTTCATGAGAACTGCATCATCTAAGCCCCCATATTATCATTCAAATGGGAGTGTATTTGCCCAGAAACACGATGTACAAGCAAGAAATCATCACAATTATTCACACTCCACAAGTTGGAATTCCTATCAGCAGGCTGCTCAACAAACTTTCTGGACATCTTGTAATCATTGTAAAACCAGGTATGAATACTACAGAACTGTTTTAAATGCAACCTTACGCTGTCACCAGTGTTCTAGACCTTTTGTGGCTCATGAGTTGGGATTTCAGCCCGGTTCACCTGGATATAAGTGGACAACAGACCAAAGAGAATATCCAAATTTTGAATCCGTGACAAAATGCACTTATGGAGTTGATGGGCACTGTAAAGGTCAAAAGGGTGACAATGGCAATGTGGCTGCGGGAAGGGCAAAGGTGGATGTTAGAAGGTCCAAACCTGCTTCACCCAAACCCAGGGAGTCTTGTTCCTCAACTCATGTTGGAAGTAAGAGGAATAGGGAGTCAGTTCCAGATCCCAGAGAAAGTTGCAAGACTGGGAATGCTAACAGTGTTAAAAATTCCAATGTTCAAGGAAGTGGTGTTGACCCTTCTGGATCTAAAGCAGAAGCACAGTCTAGGAGATCTTCCAGGCAAAAGAAGGATGTTTCTTACTCTGAAACCTCCCATGATGATGATGATTTTGAGAGTCCTTCTAAAAGGCGCCGACAAAATGGATCATCTAGCACTGTAGCAATGGAGGAAAGAGAAGTACCTGCAAGTGGTGGGTTGTCTAAACACAATCATTCAGCTAGTTCTGTAGCTGGCCTGGGTAGTGAGAGTGGAGAGAAGAACAATAAAGCAAGTGGTCTGCCTGAAGAAATATTGCTACAGAAGAGAAGCAAAATTGAGCAATCTCATGTGCATGGAGAGGAGCCATCCAAGTCAAGTGTTGATGAGACAAACTCAAAAGCCGATCATCATCCTCCATTTAATTCAGATGTCCCTTCTATTCCAGATATCATCAACTGTCCTGACCCAGATTTCAGTGATTTTGAGAAGGATAGGGCAGATAATTGTTTTGTTAAAGATCAGTTCTGGGCCATTTATGATCCAAGTGATAGCATGCCAAGATACTATGCTCGTGTGAAGAAAGTGCTGTCTCCTGGGTTCAAGTTGCTGATTACCTGGCTGGAGGCTGACCCAGATGATGAAGGTGAGATTGATTGGCAAAATGCCGAGTTGCCTGTTGGTTGTGGTAAGTTCAGATTAGGTGACACTCAAGAAATTGAAGACCGTGCTATGTTCTCTCATCAGATGCATAATATAAAAGCAATTGGCAGAAGACGTTATATGGTATATCCTAGTAAAGGGGAAACATGGGCAATATTTAAAGACTGGGATATAAAATGGAGTTCTAATCCAGAAAAGCATTGCAAGTACGAATATGAATATGTGGAGGTCCTGTCAGATTTTACTGAGAATATTGGCATTGAAGTTGTGTATCTTGGCAAATTGGAAGGCTTTGTTAGTCTCTTTCAGCAAACTGAGCGTAATGGACTTGGCTTATTTTTTGTTCCACCTAATGAGCTCTATAGGTTCTCACATCGAGTTCCTTCATTTAAAATGGCTGGTGATGAAAGAGATGGCGTTCGTTGTGGATCTTTTGAACTTGATCCTGCTGGTTTGCCTGTTGATCTTTTTGGGTTGGGTAATACCGATATGGATATGGGAGATGACGTGTTAGATGCCGGGGTCAAAAATTCAGGCCACAAATCCTCTGAACAAAAGGTGGAAAATGTGGTTCTTGATGAGAGTGGTCACGAGACGAAAATAAATAAGAGTAGTGATGTCGAAAGAGCTTCCTCAGTACTTAGAAGATCGCCAAGGGGGTTGAACAGAAAAGATATGAATAATGACCGAGTTAATAGAAGTCAGAATGTGGCTAGAGAGAATGGTAGCAAAGACATGGGCTGCATGGACTCCAGTCAACCTGATGGAACTGATGAGCCTAGTCATGAGAGGAAGCTGCATAAGACGGACGAGGTTCAAAAAGCTTCCTTGAAACTTAGAAGATCACCCAGGGGATTAAAAAACAGAAGTATGGAAAATGGTCAAGTAAATGAGAGTCAACATATGACGAGAGAGGATCGGAGCAAATATCTAGGTTGCAAGGACTTCCGTCAACCTGAGGGAATTTCTGTTGAAGATCAGGCTGGCGAGAGGGTCAAAACACTAAAGAAACATGCAAAAAATGATGGTGGAAGAGAAGGTTCAAATGTGCAGAGATCACCTAGAGATTTAAGCAAGAAAAAAGCCCAAGTAGATGCAAATCAATGTATGACTGGCAAGTTAAGTGGTGAGCATTCAGATGCCAACGAAAAGTTGAAGGATAGCAGATTTTCTGACTCTTTTGGAGGTGTTTGCAAACCTTCCACTGAAGGTTGCAGAGCTCCAAAAGCATCACGAAATATGATAAAATCTGAAGAGATGTTTCAGCGTGGTCAGATATGGGCATTATATGGTGACAAGGATCGGATGCCTGAGATTTATGCACAAATTAAGAAGATTGATTTTGCCCCGGATTTCAGATTGCATGTCGCCTCCCTTGAACCCTGTTCAATGCCCAAAGGCATAACTGGCGTGGTAGCTTGTGGTACCTTTATGGTTAAAAATGCTAAAACTCGGGTCGTTTCCATTTCTACTTTCTCTCATCAGTTAAGAGTTGAACCCAGGCAAGATAATAGATATGAAATTTATCCAAGGAAAGGTGAGATATGGGCGCTATACAAGAACCAGCATCGTGGATCAACTTGTTCAAACCAGGTTAGAGGTGATTGTCACATAGTGGAGGTGTTGGATGATGATGATGAGAGTTCAAAGGTTGTGTTTCTTGTTCGTCATCACGACTCTAGGCCAATTTACAAGACTCCTAGAATTCAGAGATCTAAAAATGTTATCATTAATATACCACGGGTGGATGCATATAGATTTTCTCACCGGATTCCTGCTTTTAAGCACACTGGGGATGGCGATACTCATCTCAAAGGATGTTGGGAGCTGGATCCTTCATCAGTTCCTGGTTTTGTAATAAACTTAGGGTGAAGCATAGCCTGTCTTCATAAGTTGTGTTTCTTTCTGTTTTTTTAAGGATTTGGAACTCAGCATCTATGTCATTGCAATGTGTAAAATTTCTTTTCTCACGAATCATGATCGCTAACATAACATCCTCAAGTGTAGTAAGCCCTGCCTATGTCTTGTTTTAAATTTTGTAATATGGCAACTACCAGTTGTCGAGGTTCAGTAATTCTGATAAACCAGCTGCTGAGCTTACGAACCTTTTCCATGCAAATGTATTAGGGAATGGACTACAAGCTTGCATTTATGATGCTGCGAACTAAGAATATTATGGACAGAATCCTGAAATGGGAATGATATTCTGTATGTTATATCCCAATATGTATGTTGCATTGTTTCAGGATTAGGTCCGTTGTTAGAAAGGATGCAAGAACACTGTCTGATTTGTTTTTGAATTGTTGGAAAGAACAAAATTTTGGTGGAAAAGGAAGAGGATGATGAGGATGACGTCAATAGAAGTGGCACAGGCAATCAATCTTCCACCTCGTCCAAACAGACACATCTCCCGAGGCAGGCACAGGGATTAATGACACTAACATCATCTTCTGTTATCCTCTATTATTAGTTAATAATGCGTTCATTCTTTTCGTCCCATTTGAGCCTCTTACGCACATAAGGCCACGCACTCTCTTCAATGTGACCCATATCTTGCACATTCCACGTACCTATCCACATTTTCATTCCATTATTGGCAACCAGCAATTTCTTGGTAGAAATTATATCTTTCTTGCAAAAAAAGAAAATTCTAATTTAATACTTTGAATGTAAGTATTACTCTTCCAGTCCTTAATACAAATTTAATTGTTGAGTTGGTTTTGATTCTAAATATAAACCATTTCTCATATTTATCAGTTTTCTCTAAATTACTCTTATGGATACTCCTTCAATCATAATCAAGTGGAAAGAGGGAGAGAGGGTATTAAGAAAGATGATTATGGTGTTTTAGGAAAAATGTGTCACTTTTATTATAATTAACTAACTTACTTAACTTTCTTAATCTAATCAAATTAGTTAAATGGGTTTTATATTAAGGACAAGAGGAGTATAATGTTTTCATTTCAAAACTTGATGCCAGTTTTAACACAACACCTAAATCTAAATCGAATAAGCGGCAAATGATGCCAAAGTACATGCCTACATGGTTTGATAGAGTCCTCAATGCTGGCAACAAAAATAAAAAGATACTGAATGTCTATAAACATTGGATATGAACTGAAACATTACAAGTATTTCAGTAATATAGGATACGAATTGAATTGTTGAGACAACGGTGTAATGGTGTTTTAACAGCGCCAATTCGACAGTCAAACAGAAATTTAAGGTGAATTATCAGTCTTCTTAAAAAAAAGTCAGTTAGAATATCATTTTGATTTCGTATAATTTTTCTTATAAAGTAAGAATTCCTTATAAAATTATATACAAAAAATTGTATTTTTCAGGATGGCGGTTCAAACTTATTGCTATATAGCAGCACCTGTGATGCCTTGTGGCAGTTCCAATACTAGACCTGTTTTGTAATGTAAACGAGTCTTATATTTAGAAAGCAGAGTAATATATGAAGGACCAATAATGTAGAAAAAACTTTTCTTGTGAAAAAAATTCAGAGAACGCGAGAGGAAAATATGACGTGCCCATATCCTACTTGCGTTGGTTTTGTGCTGCATATAACTCACCCACAGCCTCGCTCAACGTAAGCATTGATAACCACGCACACACAAAAGAATAGCTTTGTGAGAAGCAAACTAAGGAGATGGACATCGGAACCTATGGGTATCCCACAGCAACAGAGGAGAAGACAGTGTCGTACTACGACGTGCCAGAAGGAGTGGACGTGAGAGGAAGATACGACCAGGACTTCGCAAAAATCCTAACCAAGGATGCTCTGGTTTTCGTGGCTGAGCTACAACGTGAGTTCAGGAACCATATAAAGTACGCATTAGAGTGCAGAAAAGAAGCAAAGAGGAGGTACAATGAAGGAGCCCTGCCTGGGTTTGATCCAACAACCAAGTACATACGAGACGGAGAGTGGGTTTGTGCAGCTCCTCCACCTGCTGTTGCTGATAGGAAGGTCGAGATCACAGGTCCTGTGGAACGAAAGATGATCATCAATGCTCTCAACTCTGGAGCCAAAGTCTTCATGGTTAGTCCTTCGTCTGAGTTTCATTTTTCCCACTTTATATGAAAGAAGTTTTGGTAAGTTCATGTTAAGGTTAAAAGGCACTTACAGGATCGGCAGATCACATCCTAGCCAAATGGATTGACGTTCGTTGGCTTTGTCTGGTTTTTCACTTCATGTTAGGAAAGCTTAAATTTTTAGGTGCAGTTATTTTTTGGTAGGTCATCGATAAACGGTTGATGGGATTAAACTTACCATTCGGTTTCCTGAGATACTTCCAGGAGAAGTTATAGAGATAAAAAGGGAAGAGTGGATCCTTCATGCTGTTAATTTCACATATGTGGCGTCCAACTCAGTCTTTCTCCTACTTTCAATGCTGACATATTTGAAGGGATTCTTTTCCTTGAACGTCGAACATTAAAAATCATTTTAACTTAGCGTGTTGTATGAAAGTCTGGACAAAACTTTCTTATTTGCAGAGTAGGACGTTAAAGGAGCTGATTTTGTTGGTTTTGTTTTTGAAGGCTGATTTTGAAGATGCCCTGTCACCGAGCTGGGAGAATTTGATGAGAGGTCAAGTGAACTTGAAGGATGCAGTGGAGAGGAGAATAAGCTTCCATGACAGAGCCAGAAACAGGTCTTACAAGCTCAATCAGCAGACGGCGAAGCTCTTTGTACGCCCAAGAGGTTGGCATTTACCTGAGGCTCATATTCTGATCGATGGCGAACCTGCAACTGGTTGCCTAGTGGATTTTGGGCTCTACTTCTACCACAACCATGCCACGTTCCGGCGAACACAAGGCGCCGGCTTTGGGCCCTTCTTCTATCTTCCTAAAATGGAACATTCAAGGTAAGCATTCATCATAACAGTTTCATGGCAAAGCACTAATCATCACACCAGAATCTCATATTCTGGAAGTGAAGTAACACTCAACATGTCGCTGTTCAGTAGTATCCAGTCACTTGGCTGAGTGATATCATTAGACCTATGATTGTGTTAGAAAAACACACATCTCCTGTGCGTCGGTAAACTCTGAAGGCGTTTTTACAGTGGTGTTACTGTTTAAAAGTCCTTTGAAAAATCACTTGGACATCTTACACTAAACTATTTTTGTATCGCAATACTAAACATGAACAAATTGCATATATTTTGCATATGATTGTATTGAATCATGAATAAAATACATATCATAATGGGTGCCGATCATTAAGGTATCTAAAATGGTGTTTGGAAAGCTGGAAAATGGTAAATTTAGAGAAGGTGGTTGTGATTTGACAGGGAAGCCAAGATATGGAACAGTGTGTTTGAGAGGGCAGAGGAGAAAGCGGGGATTGAAAGAGGAAGCATAAGGGCCACAGTACTGATAGAAACACTTCCAGCAGTGTTTCAAATGAATGAGATTCTGTATGAGCTGAGGGACCACTCTGTGGGTCTCAATTGTGGAAGATGGGATTACATATTTAGTTATGTGAAGACATTTCAGGCTCACCCAGATCGCCTCCTTCCCGATAGGGTTCAGGTTGGCATGGCCCAACACTTCATGAAGAGCTACTCTGATCTTCTCATCATGACCTGCCATAAACGTGGTGTGCATGCCATGGGAGGCATGGTAATCATTTCTTTTCTTTTCTTTGTTTCGCATTTTTAAGTCAAAAGTAGTTCTAAGAACGTGTTTGAACAAGTATTTCCCACCACTTTTGCTTTGTGCACACTTCAAACAGATATTAAAAAGCAACCTAAAACTATTCGTTAGTATTGATTCAGTAGCTTAAGCTTTAGGAACAGGTTAATTCTTGACGAGAATCTTTGGTGGTGTCAAGAAGCAGCATTTGAAAATGATTAAAAGGCGTGACTGAAGTTGGGGAAAGGAGGAGGATGCATGGAAGATTAAAACTCAAATTTGAAACTTCACGTGTATCATTGATAATTGAGGAGCGCCAACAAGTTTAGATGACACTTTAAACTTTTGTTGAACAGGCAGCGCAAATTCCAATTAGAGATGACCCGGTGGCGAGTGAGGCAGCACTAGAACTGGTGAGGAAGGACAAGCTAAGAGAAGTGAAGGCAGGGCATGATGGGACCTGGGCAGCACACCCTGGTCTCATCCAAGCATGCATGGAAGTCTTCAACAACCACATGGGAAACGATCCTAATCAGATTCACACAAAGAAACGTCATGATGCTGCAAACATAACAGCGGAAGATCTCTTGCAAAGACCTGTAGGAGTTCGTACAATGGTAGGCCTTCGTCTGAACACAAGGGTGGGAATTCAGTATGTGGCTGCATGGCTCACTGGGAGTGGTTCAGTTCCTCTTTACAACCTCATGGAAGATGCAGCCACTGCTGAGATTAGCAGGGTTCAGAATTGGCAATGGCTTAAGTACGAAGTGGAATTGAATGGAGATGGACTTGGGGTTAGAGTGAACAAAGAGCTTTTTGGGAGAGTGGTTGAAGAAGAGATGGCTAGGATTGAGAAGGAGGTGGGCGAGGACAAGTTCAACAAGGGACTGTACAAGGAAGCTTGCAAGATCTTTACTAAACAATGCACAGCCTCAACACTGGATGATTTTCTGACTTTGGGTGCTTATAACCATATAGTTGTGCATCATCCAAGGGGATCGCCGTCAAGGCTCTGAGTTCAGTCGTTTTACAATCACCTTGCGTGTTTTTTCGGTTTGGGTTTGTCATGTGGGACTGCTTGCTGCTATATCCTTTTATCTCTTCATGGTTCTTCTTGCAGAATAATGTTGTACTACTATTATTTATATTACTTTGGATGATAGACGAATATGTTATTTGATGAGTAATAGGAAATCATAACGTGAGAATTACAATCAGGTTCATAAAAACGATTTAATTATCTTAAAGTTTATTGATAAGTGAAAAGTAAACAATAACAAATTTTAGAGTAGAAAATGACAATAAGTTCATGTTGGTCACTTGTTATAGGACTTTTTGATAATTAAATTTTTTTTCTTGAAATTTCTTGGTAATTTTTCCAATCATAAGCCCTTGCATTAGGCCTTGTTTGCTAAAAATACAATGCAGCTTCAAACGATGGGTAGAATACGTTCCCATTATTGGCATCAAGGTGGACTTTTCAAGACATTAATCAGATTTGATTGAAAAAAATATCCATAACTCTCAAGTACATACATAAAAGGCTTTTGACCAAAAAAAAAGAAGAA